CAATGAATTTATCACATGTTAATTAGACACCTGTAAAGAAAATCAGTACTTTTAAAAGGAGCAAATTTAAGAATTATTTACTCCTAAAAGTATTATTTTGGAGAAACAGTCCTTTCTAACTTTAAATTGACTCATCATTAAATAAGGATGTGTAGGGCCATGATTAGATTGGCTGAAATCTCTGTACCTTTTATGCTCTGGGCTTATCAGACTGTCTTAATCATCAGCTTTATTTGGTTTATTTGGTTTAATAGTGAGTGAGAAACTATAATAGGAACTTCAGGAATGTCTTTCCAACAGTTGGGTATCATTTAGTAACTTTCTCCTTAATCTATTACAAGGGGATACACATTCTGCAATTCCATTCTTATTATGTCATTGTTAGGCAGGTTTTTTTGGCTAAAATTTTGATCTTTTGTGCTTTTAAATTTTATGTAAATAGTATTATAATTAAATATAAATGTATTTACATATTTCCTATATGGGACAGAACTGAACGTTTTTTTTTATGTTTTGTTTGGCTGCAAATACAACTTTTTTTTAGGGAAGAATCAAAATATTCCATTATTTTCTCTGTTGGTCAAGACAGTTGCAACACATTTTATCAGTTTTACAAAGACTTTTAAACGTAATTGCTCAAAGACATGAAATTAATGTCTTTTAAAATCTTTTTTAAAAATTATTTCTATGTGATCATAAGTAAAAGATGGCTAGAAATCTTATTTTAAAATATAAATTTGCTTCTAAGATGAAGGATAAGGGCATTTGTTCTCCCTGAAAACTAGACTTTAGGGATGAACTCAAAGCAGACGAAGGTCTGTGAGTGACTGGGGATAAGTCAGCAGGGGCTACAGATGTGAGGGTTCTGTTGTTCGTTTTACTGTGCAAAGGGCTCGGGGTGAAACACTGACCCAGGGTCACACATAGCATCACGTGGCTGGAGCCACGCCACTCCTCGCATCCGTGTCCTGGAAGGAGGGTCGTGCATAGAGGGCGCGAGAAAGTCTTGCCAACCTAACACCAGTAAGACTCACAGTCTGTGTCCTAATGTTATTTTCTTATTTGTGAAGAAAAAGCTACATTCTCTTTTCACATTTTCTTTCTCTTTCCCCATCCAAACAAGTGTATGAATTTTATGAGATATAAAAATATGGGACAGAGAAAGTCATACCAGTTTTATATGCTGCATGACTTTCCACTTCTGTTTAGGAAAAGAAAGATAGTCTGATTTGGAGGGAAAATATAGATAAAATGCATTAATACAATTTTAAAAATTTAAATTACGTACTATTTCCCCCTTTTTGCTTATGTAGAATTATTCTCATTTCAGAGGGGCTGAGTGTATTGATTTATTAAAATGGATGTATTTTCCATTCTTATTGAGTGTCTCCTTTAACAGATTTTAATATTCAGCTATTATTAGACTGTTTAAAACTAAGAGAAACTTTGAAAAAGGTATACATTTCATACTGATACTAATTTAATTTCTTTTATTCAGAGTTTAGTGTTAGTGTCATAACAAACATTTTGAGGGTCTAACCATTATTCTAGACTATTTGAGTGAATTTATTTTACCCCCCTAAATAATACATCAGGTTTCTGGATTATCTTTACATTTCCTGTTAAAAGGACAACTTAGAATTGAAGATGGAAATCAAAATTATGATACACTTTTTCCCATACAAATGCCATTAATATAAACATATTTTTGCTCATAAAATAGGTTATTTTTGTAGTTAAGCTATAGTTACTTTATAGGTAGCCATATTTTTACATATGTAAACTTTTTTACCTAGGTGTGTACACGTGGAAGGGACCTGAGTTTATTTATGACTGTTTTGGCAATAGTGTCACTATTATAAGTGATTCTCTGCTAATTTCTTAGAAACGACAGTCTTCTGAATTTTGCTTTGTAATAATTACAATGTCTGTTAACGGGACAGAGCTTTAGAATCATGCATCTCCCCTGAGAATCCATATTCCAAGTAGACATCATAGCTTTCTTAACACATAAAAATTCCTTACTCTAGACTACCTTTTCCTAGCAGATTTCACATTCTACCTGATGTGCCGAGATTGGAAATCCTAAATGGATCACAGAAACTTCAGAAATGACTATTATTCTAGAATGTCAATTTTAAAACTGCTGCACTGAAATGAATTGACCAATTGCTAGCTGACCTATGCAATTATAGACTTCTGGAGTAGACGGTTACATTAATATACACCTTGCTTATTTGCATTAGGGAATAATACCATTTTCCATCATTTAAATAAGACTAATAGAATTCTATAATTTGTTTAAGTAGACATTAGTTTAAGTAGGAAAAACAAACTAAATATTTCCTTTCTTTAAGAATAAAAAATTTAATAAATTCTAATTTACCATCATTTGTGTATCTATTGAGATAACTTGACCATTTGACTAAGCTTTCAAACAAATATTGCAAGTCAGATAGTTAATCTGATAGGTGTTTAAATTTGATCCTTTTTATTAAATTCATGGGATAAATATTACTAGCAGTAAATTCTATATTACTGCTGTCTTTTTTAATGCAACTTTTACTTGTCATCAACATACCAAATTGATATGAAAATGTAGAGAAAATGTTTATTAATTTAAAACTTTGTTTAGTACTTATTAGTCATACATATTGATTTCTGTTAACCCTGCAGTGTGATTTATGCTAAAAATAGCTCTAAAACTGGCCAGAAGCTCCTGTAACATAGGGTTGAAATTCAATTGATAAAATTTGAAGGATATAAATTTTTATGGTTTAATATAGCTGTGCCTATTGCGTGAGTCTTTGTTGTAATATGTCTTCGGTAGTTAAATTATATTCAGTATCTCCAAACTAAATCGATATGTTTAGATGAGCCAACATTCCATTTTTAAGCATTTTCACTCTGTCTTTTTGAATGGTTATAGACAGACTTTCTCATAAGGCAGAATTGTTTATATTCTTTTATGATGTAGCATTTCTTTTTTCCTTTTCCCAAGGCTAATGCATTAAGGTAATTTTCTCTACATGTCTAAGTTCATTATAGTTTTGGAAGGAAAATATACTGAAATATTTATTTATAATTGTGTTTTTTAAACAGAGAGTGAAAAATAAATCACTGGAGGACGTGGTTATGTTAAATGTTGACACAAACACTTTAGAATCACCATTCAATGACTTGAACAGCCTCCCGAGTGATGTGGTAAGTCGGGGGGGTATTTTGTGGTGAACACGCATGTACATGTTTTCTCCTGGACCCTTGAGTTACTGAGTTATCTTCTACCTGGAATAAAAGGGTTGAAATGTGCATGTGGTGTGAGAGGAATCGGCGCAGGTTCTGCATTTAACATTTCTGCCGTTTGGCAGCTGAGGGGATGCTGAATGGAACGTCGCACTCCTTGTAGAAGTAAGAGCGTAATTAAAAAGCTGGATGCATTCATTAGGCAGAGTTTCTCTAAACGTAAGCCTCTTCATCTCATCTTAATCATTATATTACAAAGTAGGCATTTCTGTCTGCCTGGTGGCATGTCTTGCAAAAGAATGAGAGAGTTTTTGAAGGCAAGAAGAAGAAGGGGGCCAATTATCGGCTTTTGCTTCCCTGCCACCTGCCAGCGCTTTTCCTTTTAATTAATGATCTGATGGCACTGGTCAATATAATAAGAGATGCTTGTACAGTTGGGGTCAGAAAATGCTGTCTTTGATCTCCCTCAACTTTCTGAAACATTTATTTGTTTTTTCTAGATTATTTCAGTTTTATTTTAATCTTTTCTATCCTGCTGAGGGCCGCAAGAATGAAAACCTACACTGTTTGTCATTTGCTTTGGCAGAGCAAAGACTGCTTACTTAGAATTCTATTTGTAAATTAAACTGCAAACCCAGTTTGTCATAAAAGACATCTGATCCTTTTGAAATGACGAAAACTGTCTTTTGTCTGTAAAGGCTGATAAATTAAGTGCCAGCTCTCTTCTGGTCTTTGATCTTACAGAGGTTTGTGTGCGTGTGCGCATGTGTGTGTCTGCAGCTCATAATAGGGTATATTCTGTATTTTGTGTTAAATAGTCTCCAAAGTGCATTTTTCTGGCCTTCGTATTCCTTAGAACACGGTAAAAACGCAGATTGTTCTGTTTCTGTATATATTCTAATGACTCTTTTAAAATATCTTTATAACTCAGTTCTAAGTTAATTAAACTCCCCTTTAAAACATCCGTTTTTTTTCTGGAGTGTTAACATTTTGGAATAAAAAAAACCTTCAGAATGTATTTTTCTGTAATATTTCAAGTACTTTGAAATCGTTATTAGGGAGTTTGAAAAAAAGAATTTAAAAAAATCTTAAACTCAAAAAATACAGGAATACTAGCCTTGATTGTTTTTATGGCTAGTGATAGGAAAAACGTAATTTTAAAGTCAAAATCAGATTATTTATGCCCATAAATAACCTAAAATACTTGCTGACCCTGAAGCAAATTAAATTGAACTACTTTATCTTACTGTAGTAAAATTTATGCTATGTATGAGCAAATCCAAACCCAGGCCAGTGAAGAATTATATTATCTTTTTAGCTCATTATAACTAGATTGCCTCATTATAGAAGTTTTGCAGAAGCCGCTAGAAAGGATTGCAGTTGTTCATTTAGAAATCCATCAAAGTATTCTTCATTGGATATAGAAATGATTATGAAAATAAAGCCCCAGCTTTTAAGAATGTTTTTCTTATGTGTATGTGGTTAGTGCCCTGAAAAGAAAGATGGTTTATTTTTTTAAAGATGAGAAAGAATAAGAGAAAGGAAAAAGAAATCAGCTTTTTTGTGTCATACTGAAATTTTTATATCCAGCTTCAGTGACAGCTGATTATTTCTTTGAGAAAAACAACCTTTAGTAGTAATTTTTTTGATGGGTGATTCTTTTTTAATTGGGAACTACTACCTTCCTAGTAGAATTAGTTTAATATTAAAATATTTATTTAAGGATGTGAAGAAGTTAGACAGCATTCACAAAATGTAAAGCCTTAATATGTAAAATGACAAGAGGGACCGTCTCATTGTTTACTTACAAGCAACAGTTAACGAACGACTCACAGCTGAAATAGTGAAGGATGTTCATAAAAAGGAACGCTGCCGGGTGAGGTAGGTACCGCTATCTGTAAGCTTGAAATTAAGGGCCACAGATTTATAGACAAATTTGAAGAATGAGTACGTTGAAGTGGTTCTGAGGTGGAGCTGGGACTATTTACTGAAAATGTGAGATGTTCTAAACTTAGTTATTTTCTAAAAATATCTCAGGTGATTGTTTAACCCATCCCTAGTAAACTTAGCTTTTTCATCAGTTTTCCAAAAGCTCTCCCTCATAGTAGAAAAGACGGTGAAGTATCAGTCATTCTTGCTGTAATTGTAAATGTTTAAATGAGACGTGTTAAAATCACAAATGATCTTACTGAATTTCTTTGTGATTTGAATTAAGAAAAAATACTTGAAGCCTGAAAAATATTACTATCAGTATTGCTTGATTATTTAATAAATTAACTGATATTTAAATGGGGCCTTTTAAAATCATTCACCAAAGCATTTAAATTATCCGCACAGGCCAGATGACTTTCTGGGCATGTGTGCTTTATTACTGCGTCAGCCTGACCAGTGGTCCTGGCTGTTCCGAGGTCAGTGGTCACAGTTGTCCTGAATTACTGGTTCTTTTTTCCTGTGGACCCTCTGCTGTGTTGCATGCTGTAATCTTCTTAATGGCTTCATTCCAATATTCACACGTAATATTTTAGATTTATTGGCTGTTAGAAATACTACCACGCCAGTAGCAGTTCCGCTGCTCTTAAGGTATTTAAAATTGGAAAAATAAATCAGGCCAAAGCTTTCAGGAATCCTTTGTTTTCCTTAAGGGAGGGGAAAAAACTCTCTTCCTGTCTTCTGACAAGAACACTTGTTTTTCGATTTCATCATTTCACTATAGATTTGGATCATTAAAGGAATAAAACACACATTTTACTGGGAGTGATTTTAACGATATTGATTATTACATGGAATAACTTTTAAAAGCAGTAGATCCATTAAAATACACTTTTGTAGTTTTTGTCTGTGAATACATTGTGATTTTACTTTCTAGTGGCTTTGCCAAATATGGAAACCTTCAAGCATACGTAGTTTCTGTTTTGAAATAAAGAAGTAAATTTTCGGGTTATGTAACAGTATCAGTTGCATTTAGTATTACTGTGGTATGTTTTTAAGTATGGGGTAAAAAGAGCCGATTGGATTAAATATTAACATTTGAAATCTCAAATGAGTCCATTTTAGTTTAAGAAAATCTACTGTTGAGACCCCCCGTTCCGACTATGTACACAAATTTATTTTCAGTTACATAATAATTTAAAATGTTGTATTTCTAAGGTATTACTGCTCACTTTATTTTTTATCATCAACATTTTAGAAAGTAATTTGGAAAATTGTTACTATTTCAAAAATAAATAGGATGCCCCACTAGTTGGACAATTAAGCTGAAGAGAATTACGAGATTTAGGAAATCTGTCTTCATGTGAATATTGTTAGAACAATGACAAAATAACTCTCGCAGAAGAAAGCAGTAAGAATTGACATCTGGGAAAGTTACACCCATTAGAATAGTCATTACTTGGAAAGCAAATTTTGACCTATATTGGTTAACTGTCTTTAAATAATTTAACTCATTAGATTGTAAAAAACAATACACTCTGAGACAGGTCAGTGTGTTTACCTGTTTCAGACAAGAGGGTGGGTCACAGCAAGTAGACTGCTAACGGTTTGTCTGGAGCTTGAGTTTGTATAGGTTGATCCTCAGACGTGTCCCCACACACCGGACCGTGGTCCCGCTCGTGTAAACGTGATGTGCTTGTAATGAGGAACTCTTAAAATTTAGTGTAGAGGCTTACTCTGCATTCTGATCTTGTTAGAGAAATAATCAGTATGACCTATTTGACTGAAATGAGGATTGTCAGCACTGCTTTAAAAACTCATTTTCATGTTGTACAGAACATTATTGGAAAACAGTTTTCCATTTTCTGTCATGAGGGTGCGTAGAAAATATGGTACACACGCTGACGTGTTCTTGCACCGTCTCGGCCACGGTCTGTCCTAGGACAGCCGCACTGAGTGTGACACATGTTTAATTACTGCAACGTTGGGAAGATCTTATAAAATGCAACCCTCTGAAACACTGTGCATCTTACAGTGAGGCTCTCAAGTATCACACCAAGGACGCGGTTAATGGTTTTACTGTGATATGAAAAGGAGAAAGATACGGATCGCTCGGATTCACTAAAAATCATCACAAGCCCAAAGAACTAGAGGAAGAAAAACCCCCAAACTCTGATTTTTAGATAGCTGCATTCGAGTGAGCTAAGTAATTTGGAATAAATTTCAGAAAGTAATTGGCTTTTTCAGAGAATTATTAAAGTCAACTTAAAAATTCAAGTATATAAACAAATTTAACTCTTACAAGCAAGCACATAAGTCAATAAGTATGTTTAACTCATTGGCTGTTTCCTCTAATCTAACATGAAGGTTTAATGTTAAATTGTCATAGTATATGTTACAAAGGAAAAAAAAGACCCCAGAGAATATTGTATCAGTCCCGGGTTTGCCACAGCTCTGCTAAAATCCTCATCGTGTTCAGCAGTGCACGATGTCCCCAGCAGGTTTCTAGAGTGCCCAGGTTAGAAGGGTAACACGCCTTCACTCAGGTGCTGGGGTCATTTAGAGAAGCCCGTTTGTTGTTGTTTACTAGAGTGGACTCCAGGAGACACGTCCTGCTCTCAGTTTGCCCCCGGGGGATGCGGGCATCTGGGTGGCTCTTCCCCTCCACGCAGCCTGGCGCCGGGCGGAGCCGGGGCGGGCACTCAGTCCTTGGCCTGGAAGAGCAGTGTGATCACATTTCTTTTTATCTTTTGTAATGGAGGCTGCTTTTAAAGGCCCTGTTTAGAGTTAACTTCCTAGAATGCTTTATAAGGGAATTTCCATCTGACTTTCGAAGTAATGAAAGGAAGAACCCGGAAGCAGGCTTAATGGGCACCTCTTGGGCTCCAAGTGCGACTTGTTATTTCCTTTCCCTGGAGGCGAGGCCGGGTTGCGGTGGCGGCCCCTGGCCCCTGCACGTGACCCGAGGGTCCGTGGGAGTCTCCGCTCTCCTCAACACTTATTCCCAGAGATGGGATTGTTTACAAGAAGGC